CTAGAGCTGTTGGAACCAGGCCAGGGTTCTTAGAAAATGCAACAGGAGGAATGTTCGAGAAGGCAAGATGGGATACAAAGAAGAGGAATAAGGTTATGTTCGAGCCATCTCACAAACGGGAGGAGGATGGTCCGGCACCAATCACCATGGACCCAGACACCGTGTTCCTTATGAGAGTTTTTGTGGAAAAGCCAAGGCCACTTGTTACACAAGACAAGGATCCCAGCTGCTAAATTTTCCATAAGTCCTTGGCGCTTCCCATTACAAGGGCACCATTGGCCTAAGAATATCCATCTTTATAGTCAAGAGCGGCATTAGAACAGACAAGGCAATCTCTGCCACTGACTTGGGAAAGTGGATCATTACAGAAATGAAACTAAACATACGCCTAGGACAGCCCATCAATGAGGATTTGCCGAGGTTGATCTGTCACTCTGACAAAACGGCCAAACAGTGGTATAGTCTGACTGAGGAGGCAGCTGAGGAGTCGGAACAAATAGCCCTCCACACAACTTTCCCCAACAAAGAAAGGATCCCCGGCCAAGAAAGAGTCAACCGCAGGGTATCAGAAGCTGAAGGATTCCGAATCACCACTCCGAGAAGCGCCACCTTTAACAGATTCCTTCACACCCGACCAGCTGGAGTCTGTTTCCAAACTGTTTCAAGACAACGTCAGGGAGAAAATCTCACCAAGAAAGAAGCATGTGTCTGATGAAAACAGATGCCGTGTTGAGGAAGGCCACAAACTCTGACCTTAAGATCCAAAAAGTCATTGACCGTGTGCAAGATCTAGTAGAGTCCCAACCTTCTCTTGATCCTTTCAAACTGCCCATAGAAGAGCCCTTGGCAAGGAAGGCAAAGTATGTTTTATCTCAACCATGAATGTCTGATGTACAGTCTTACGATTCTGGAAGGGTGGGGTGGACTGAAGAGGAGACAATGGCCATTGAAAAGGCCTTGAGACCCTTCGAAAAAGTGCCTCAAAAGACGGAGATAATATCTGTTCCATTCTACCCAAAAACTACAGGAAATCTACAAGGAAATAAGCTTCCACCGGATTAGAAACAAAGTGAAAAATATCTCTCAAAAGAGAAGGAATAGGTAGACTTGTGGCCTTTGTCGGGGAAGAAACCAAATTTGTTTCATCCGTGGTGTACTTAACACCAGGTCAATTAAAAATGATAAAAACTGACAAGGGAAAAAAAATTGAAAACCAAAACAAAAAAAAAAACCCAGTTAAAAAAGGAAAGGAAAAAAAGAAATTGTTTTGTTCCTACCTATATGCTGTGGTTGGTAACTTTCAGACCACATCGCGAAAGGATTTTGAAGCTGCATATATGTTGTCTAGTATCGAGAAAAGATTTTAATGTTGTGTCTATGTTGTCTAGTGTGGAGAAAGGATTTTAATGTTGTGTAGCATATGTGTAGTGTTTGTTAACTCTGCCTTCACTGGTCCCAAGCCCAGATGAGAAAAGAGGAGGGTTGGGCCTGGGGATAGCATGCCCGGCCCATAAACAGACAACACTTGTGCTGCGCAGGCTCTGCTCAGGCAAACCCTAACCCTGAACTAACTGCCCTCGTTTAAGGTCTGAAATGCCCTCACTTTGGTCGAGTGCCCTCACCTCTTGGGGAAGGAAACAGAGCTGTACACAGTGTGCAAAATGCAATGTGGGTGTCTATGTAAAAAGCTTTGAACAGCTGGACCATAAAACAAAGAAAAGAGAAACTTAACTTTATTCACTTTTTAATTTTGTGCAAGAGTTGCAATAATGCACCTGCCCACGTCATTGCAATGCATCTGATTGCATGTTGTCTTGAATACCGTGCCCCCCCCCCAGAAATTTGGGCAAATATTGTGACAAATATTTGTCAAGACTATTATAGTTCATTTACATTAAATTTTCACTTTGTGAATAAGGTAATTTACTTCTGTCAATAACCACAACTGTACCTCATTGCTGCAAGAGTAATATGACAATTTTGTAACGTCAGTAATACCAACAAACCTTAATTGTTTTCCACTCACCAGTTTGCAAAAGATCTAGTTTTTCCATATTTTAATCTCTGTTAATTAGAGATCAAATCTGGTTAATTAGTTTCCCCAGTTTTGTTTCTATGATGATTTTCTTCTGAGCTGAAGTTATGAAAGAGAATTTAGCATCTTAAGAAATGTTGACTGACAACTGTTACCATGGTGATATTTGAAAAACCATGTTGAGAACACACGTGAGCAAAAGAGAATTTTATTACGATTAAAATGATATGCTGTTGTTGAGATTTGAATGAGCTGTCATTTTTTATTTTTTTCTGCGAACTCCATTTTGTTATAAAATTTGCATGGCAAATTGGGGGGACTCCCCCAAAGAAGTTGGCATGGCCAGGGTGAAACAATCTCACCAAACCTCATGTGACTGGAAACCAGCTGTCCAAATCCCCTGCTAGTTTGACTAAGCTGAAGAAACNAGACAACTTTATTGGTGTCCCAACCGTTCAAAAAGTCATGCCAAGGAATCGCTTTGAGAAGATTCAACAATATCTCAGTTTGAATAATCGTTTGAACATGTTACCGCGAAATAACCCACGTTACGATAAGCTTTTCAAGGTGCGTCCTTTGTTGAATAGACTTCCCAGCACTTTCCGCGAAGAATACCGGCCATTGAAATATGTTTCAATCGATAAAGGAATGGTGAAATATAAAGGAAGACTTGGGTTCAAACAATATATGCCCATGAAGCCCGTGAAGCGTGGAATAAAAGTATGGGTCCGTGCCAATGCGACAAATGGCTTCATGGGTGCCATGCAAGTGTACACAGGAAAAAAAGATGGTGGCCAGCCTGAACACGGTCTCAGAAATTGTGTTGTTTGTGACCTTGTCAGCGATCTGAAGGGAAAACATCACATCTTTTGCGATAATTTTTTCACTTCAGTTTGACTGGCCGAAGATTTGCTCTCCGACAAACTTTACTTTTGCGGAAAAACACGTGCAAACCGAACTGACTTTCCGTCGGCCTTGAAAGCCAACAAGCCCACAGTGAAAGTGCTTTGTCGTGGCGAATCTCTCTTTCGTCGGAAAGGTGATGTTGTAGCTTCTTTGTGGAAGGACAAGAAAGTCGTGGCTTTTCTCAGTACTCAGTGCAATCCAAATGGAAAAATGAGTTGACCATTCCAAATGTTTTTGCCTCAATTTTCAGCATTGAAGAAGAAATCAAAAGAAATAAACCAGCAGAGTGTGTTGCATCCATAAATCAGCTGTCAAAAGCTATTGGCAATGCACACAGAGACATTTTTGTTTTATTCCTCCTTACAAGGTGAATTGCTTTCAATCTCTGAAGACTTGTATGGTCCAGCATTTTCTTCGATGTTGCAAAACAGCCTCGACATTTCAAGGTTGCATGCTTTCTTTTTGACGAAATTTCACAAACTTGTCTTGGATTATCCACGACTTTTGCAATGTAAACTTGCCACTGAACTATTTTAAGAAAAACTTTTCAGCCATTAAAACAATATGCAAAGGTGAGCAGATTATTTGGAGAGACAAGTTAAAAACTGAATTTGCTGAAATAACAAGATCAAATTTACTTAAATGTTATCGATGATATGTAAGTAAAACCTTTATTTAAACATGATGAGTATGAAGCTATGCAGCTTGTGGGGTCGTGTATAAGACTTCTGTGTAAACATAAGATATTGTTTAGATTAATAATTGATTATATTATCTAGCTAATAAAATATGGAATGGCATCCCCCCCATAAGCTAAGGAAAACGCCTTTTAAAAGTAAGTTACACCCTGTGTGTGTGTGTGTGTGTATGTATGTGAGAGCCTGTACAGTGTCTGTTTAGTGACATAGTAATTGACTTGAATAAGGAGGCGGAGGAAGAAGAACAGAGTAAAGAACAAGAAGCAGAGATGATAGTCGCAGAGAGCTTAGGTTTGGCTGGTGAAGACTGCACAGAACAAAACATATCAGACGAAGATTCAGGCCTTGACTCTGTTTCTGAGGATGAGTTTTAGCCATGCCCCACTCTCGCCTTGAATTATCTGACTGCTTTATTAGATAATTATTAGCTAAAATATCTCAAAAGATTTATGTGATTGATGAATCAAATAGGTCATATTCGTATTTTTGTTGCAAAATTTCATATGATGTAACAGAAAAGGGCTGCATTTTATTAAATACGTTGTCATTTCTTGTGTTTGTGAAGCCTGTTCATCTGCTTCATTTGGGCAACCAAAATGCACCAGATTGCGTCTCAGAGCACTTAATTTTTCAAAATTTTCCGGGGGGGGCATGCCCCCGGACCCCCNACCCTTCGAAAAAGTGCCTCAAAAGACGGAGATAATATCTGTTCCATTCTACCCAAAAACTACAGGAAATCTACAAGGAAAAAAGCTTCCACCGGATTAGAAACAAAGTGAAAAATATCTCTCAAAAGAGAAGGAATAGGTAGACTTGTGGCCTTTGTCGGGGAAGAAACCAAATTTGTTTCATCCGTGGTGTACTTAACACCAGGTCAATTAAAAATGATAAAAACTGACAAGGGAAAAAAAATTGAAAACCAAAACAAAAAAAAAAACCCAGTTAAAAAAGGAAAGGAAAAAAAGAAATTGTTTTGTTCCTACCTACATGCTGTGGTTGATAACTTTCAGACCACATCGCGAAAGGATTTTGAAGCTGCATATATGTTGTCTAGTATCGAGAAAAGATTTTAATGTTGTGTCTATGTTGTCTAGTGTGGAGAAAGGATTTTAATGTTGTGTAGCATATGTGTAGTGTTTGTTAACTCTGCCTTCACTGGTCCCAAGCCCAGATGAGAAAAGAGGAGGGTTGGGCCTGGGGATAGCATGCCCGGCCCATAAACAGACAACACTTGTGCTGCGCAGGCTCTGCTCAGGCAAACCCTAACCCTGAACTAACTGCCCTCGTTTAAGGTCTGAAATGCCCTCACTTTGGTCGAGTGCCCTCACCTCTTGGGGAAGGAAACAGAGCTGTACACAGTGTGCAAAATGCAATGTGGGTGTCTATGTAAAAAGCTTTGAACAGCTGGACCATAAAACAAAGAAAAGAGAAACTTAACTTTATTCACTTTTTAATTTTGTGCAAGAGTTGCAATAATGCACCTGCCCACGTCATTGCAATGCATCTGATTGCATGTTGTCTTGAATACCGTGCCCGCCCCCCAGTAATTTGGGCAAATATTGTGACAAATATTTGTCAAGACTATTATAGTTCATTTACATTAAATTTTCACTTTGTGAATAAGGTAATTTACTTCTGTCAATAACCACAACTGTAACTCATTGCTGCAAGAGTAATATGACAATTTTGTAACGTCAGTAATACCAACAAACCTTGATTGTTTTCCACTCACCAGTTTGCGAAAGATCTAGTTTTTCCATATTTTAATCTCTGTTAATTAGAGATCAAATCTGGTTAATTAGTTTCCCCAGTTTTGTTTCTATGATGATTTTCTTCTGAGCTGAAGTTATGAAAGAGAATTTAGCATCTTAAGAAATGTTGACTGACAACTGTTACCATGGTGATATTTGAAAAACCATGTTGAGAACACACGTGAGCAAAAGAGAATTTTATTACGATTAAAATGATATGCTGTTGTTGAGATTTGAATGAGCTGTCATTTTTTATTTTTTTCTGCGAACTCCATTTTGTTATAAAATTTGCATGGCAAATTGGGGGGACTCCCCCAAAGAAGTTGGCATGGCCAGGGTGAAACAATCTCACCAAACCTCATGTGACTGGAAACCAGCTGTCCAAATCCCCTGCTAGTTTGACTAAGCTGAAGAAACTCAAATGCCTGGACATCTCAGATAATAAACTAGCCACAATCCCTGATGCTATTTGGTGAGGTGGTGGAACTTAAGAGACTAGATCTGAGTTACAGTTGTCTTCATTGGGTCCCGCTATAGTGCGTAGATATGCATATTTGCATTAGATTATGGCGGCCACACAGCTTTGGGCTCCACTCTTACTTCTATCTGTTGGCCAGTTATCGAAACTGAAATCAAGCAAGTCTATGCTAAACAGCAACCTAGATACCTGTGTGTCGCAGAAAGCAACTTGGATCCAAATGAGATCTTTGGATATTGCTGCATTGCTGGTAAATGAAATAGTACACCGTGAGTCCAGCCAGGTAAGGAAATATCATTTTATCTATCACATGACCCTTTGCAGCTTGCAATGTCACTGCTACTTGGAGGAGACATAGAAGTTAATCCTGGAGATAAATGGAAGACTTCTTGTGGTATCTGTTCTAAACCAGTTAAGAATCAAATACCTGGTAATTAAGTATTTGAAGTCCCTTATCCATATTTTGAAAAAGAAATACAACCTTTGCATTCGTGGCAAAAAACCAGGAATTGCTTCTGTTAGACAGCATATAAATCCTGATTTCTTAAAGCACTCACTATGATTGAAATTAGGAAACACTGTGTACAGTCAATGATATAAATAGGTGTAAAGTATTGAGAATTGCTTGTAAAAGACAGAAGAATCTTTTGAGGTGAGAGGTCCAGCAGCCTCGAATCTGCTTTTAACATTAACTGTTGATACATATTTATGGACCTTTCTTCCTCTAGGAAGTCGTCATGAGAAAGGAAAAGAAAATCAGCCTGATGAACTGTGTTTGGAGATTCAACATTAAAAGTTGATCACGGGATATGTGTAAGTATATTTAAGTGACATGGGTTACATCACAGCCTTGCTCTGGTATAAAGCTGTTCTTGTTGTTGGCCATCTTGAACACATGTGAAGGTTGACGTGATGGCTTCTCGTTCCTTCGACCATTGCTACATGGTGGCAGCGAACAAGGATTACAGTCCAACAGTGACTAATACTGTTGCCTTTTTCCCTTCATGACAATTGGAAATACTTAATTCACTAAAGGAAATGTGGGGTCGCTCAATAAAAATTTGCATTTGAACATGGTTTTGTTTACAAGGACCTCCTGCTAGCATCTAATAATAAGCCTCAGAAGTTTTTTTGCCTCACAACAATATATCACAAAAGGCATTTTATGGACCGCAAGTTTTTTGACTGACTGAAATTTAAGGTATGTGGCAGTGACCTCTACAAGTTTATTTTGTCACATTTGTTAACATTTATGTAAGACACCTGTATTAATTAATCAGCCAATAAACTTTTACTTTTTCCAAGGGTTGTTGTTTTCAACAGTTTGTTAACAATAGCCTGAAGTGATTCACAGTACTGGTTTGTGCTTTAAATAAATATATTTAAGTTCACTTGAAAGGTAAGTTTAGACTGTAACAAGCTGGGTTATCAGCCCAGCACTTTAAGCCTGACCAACACTCGATGCCAAAATTCAGCCTCGTTCCCAAGCTATGTCTACCACGTTACTTTATGGTAGACAATTCCACAAAACTGAACCTCAAAAGATTTATGATATTTATGAGAATGAGCTTTCTCTTTCATCTAGGCCTGCTGTATTCTACTCATGGTCAATTTTGACATCGGATTTTTGAGTGCACTTTTTTTCCATAGCTAGACCTTTTTCATGTGGTGTTTCCTAGCTGATAGAAAATTTCTCCATTATGTGGAATCTCAAATTGGTCATTAATGAAAATAACAAAAGGCTTAGGTTCACTATGCCACCCAAGCAGCTTCAACACCTAGTTGTATTGGATCCAACTTTTGGCATTAATGCAGGAATAACAACAAACAATATCAAAGAAATTGTTATCCAATATGATGGCATTGAGAACAAAGCCTTATCAGTGAAAAGATGAAATTACCAACATTGTGAACTTTGATTACTTATCTAAAAAGAAAAGGACCAGGTCATTCAATTAAGATATTACCTTGTTGATATTTTCAAATGCTACTGTTATTCTTAATACAATGATTGTTTACATCATATCATTACTTTCCTTGATGAACATTAAGTACTTCATTTTTGCACTGTTAGTTAACTTTGGTACAATATATAAATATATGCAAGTTCGATTTATTTTCAAGATAACAATACCATTTCAAACCAAACAGAGAAAATGCCATCCAATGTGAAACAATGTGTTTCATCACAGTGATGAAATTACCAATGTTGCAAACTTTGATATCTCATCAAAAAAGTAGAGTACCAAGCCAAAAGGAGCTATACCAGGAAATCATGTTATCTTTTTCCTTTTCCACCATTAATTGGATTCCTTATATGGCCATTCTCACTTTGACCAAAACTAGGTTTTGTAGCTACATCAATTTCATCACCTGTTGTCTTCATTCTAGAGTTATTATTAAGGGTTTTTGCTCCAATTTTCATGCATCTTTTTCTACTAATCACTATTGTCACCAAATTCAAAGTCCCCAAAAATCTTTTTCATGCAACATTATGAGAATCATCATCAGAGCTATGTGCCAAACACGTAACGACATCAACCAACAAATTCTACATTCTACATTGGCAAAACAGGAAGAAAACTAGTGTCTCATTCCAAGGAACACCTTTGCAACATAGAAAGGAATGAAATGGACTCATCAAAACCAGTAACTAGACACTTCAGTCTACCTAATCATTTTAAGCTGCATATGACAGTCTGCAGCCTATGCTTGCACTTAAGTAGCTCTGACAACCGCAAAACTTTTAAACAAAAGTTCATCTTTCAAATCAGCACTCTTAATCCCATAGGAATCAATTAATGTTAATCATTCTACTAATTTACTCTTGTTTTTCTAGTCACCGTATTCCCAACAATAGCATAGCTCCACTTTCTTCATACAAACACACACACAATCCACAATTCCTCCTCTTGCTCTGACAGAGGGCTAGAGTGCTTGAAATGTCAGCTTTTAAACTCTTTAAATTGGAGACTGCAGCAGTACAGAAAAGGCTCAAGACATTGAATAGAGATGTTACATGTACCTTTGTTTACACTTTCAAATGGTACTGTTAATCTTAATTCGTGGACTGTTGCCTTCACCAGTTTTTTGTAATCCTACATGTACCTCAGAATTCATCATCACCATTTGTCCACTCAATTCCAATCAGCCCAGTCAATACAAGCCCAGTCAATACAAGCCCAATTTGCAGCCCTATGGTAATCCAACCAGTGTTTGTCAACTCTTGTACGCTAATGCATAAGAGAGCACTTTCCTGTAGTCTGTTGGATTTTGTCAGGACAACGCCAACTACATCTTTGCAGGACCAGCAAGATATTTGTTAGATCCTGTTCAGATGCCAGTAATTCCCCCACTTATTGCAAACACAGCCTTTACTGTGATAATGGCATGAATATCTTCACCAGCAAAGAAGGATCAAGCAGTTGATC